CAGAATAGAAATTGCTCTAAAAATGCAATAACTAGTAGGATGAGAGCTTACTGTCAATGGATGTAGAAAAGACCAAGACCCGCAGATTTTGAACAATTTGATTTGTTTCATATATTAGCGTCCTCCTATGAACAGTTTCAGTGCTACAGGTTGTGAAACATTTGATTTTGGCAATTTAGAATATTTTGTATCTATCAGAATAGGGAAGTTTCCTTCAGATGAATTTTCATAAAATAAGTTCGAAACTCTCCAGTTTTATGTCCACGCTGTACGGAATGGCAAACGATAAAGTCCAAGTCGTTTTCATTTTCAAATTAAAGCAATTTCTAATTTTCGGGGCGGCAAACTGTGACGTACATTTTGAATCTAGTCTGAAAATAGCTGATGGTGAAAAATATAGCTAGCGAATAGGTATCGAATGAAAAACGAATGAAAAAAATAGAAGAAGAAGTAAAATTGGTAAACAAAAACATACATAACTACAAATGCACTCGGAGCAGGAATGCAGAGGGTAGTTGGCTTCATTCTGACATGATATGGTTTTGTTATTTATGCATTGAAATATCTCGAATAGAGCTCAATCCTAAACGGAAATGTCATTGAATCAATGAATCACTATCGGCTACATTCAATGATACTATCCTTCCTAATTTACTGCCATCGGTCAGAACAGAATGAAGCCGGCACCCATTATGCGTTGTTGCAAGATATAATCTGCATCAATCCTAGAAAATAGATCCGTTTTATTAAGGAACGAATTCATTAGCAAAAAAATGTCTGCTAGTTATGAATAACATATTGTGATATAACGATAGTGAAAAATTATAGATACTGTCGCAAAATATCTCAATTTATCTTTATTAGTAATCAACTTCATTCAGCCCATGAGAGATTTATGGGAATTATTCATAATACTTGACAAAGCAGGATTGAAGAACCTATTACATCCCATTGCTGTTATATGATATAGTTATTATGCATTCAAAGAACAATTTCCGAAAATCTAGACATAATGATGATGTCGGCAACGTCATACTGACACAGGCAATCGTATTTTAACTCTGTGTGAATGTGGATTTTCAGAAAATACGTCATAGGAATGGTGGAGGAGCCAAGTTCCTCTTTTATTAATTTTTTTCTGAAGTGAAATTTCATCTTACGAAAAAAAGAAAAAATACGTATATATTAATTTTTTACAAACTTCACAGTTAGATAAAAACCTCAATATATGAAACTTCCCCATTATGTGCTCCAAGTCGTGTTCAATATGTTTTAGAGTTAAATTCTCCACCTCTAGATTCTACTTCATTCAAATGAAGAATAATATCACACAGTGTATTGCATTCCATCATGGCAAGATATTGTTAATGGAAATAGACAAATATTGAGAATATTAGGACTTTGATTTCAACTCAATCCGTGCAAACTGGAAGACATACGGCTAGAATCGGCCAACTATTCGACATGAGAATTCATATGATTGCCTCTGAAAAAATGTACGGTTTGTCATATGCATGATGATGACAATTCGAAAGCTTAGAACTGATGTAGCTTATGTACGAAATGAACATTTTATCACGTTGATAACTGTTTCTATAATACACGAAGTGGAAAGTCAATTGTTTCATGAAATAATCCAGCTCCATCAATACCCAAAGTCACAGCCACCTCAACTAAAATAATTTCAATAGCAACCCTTACTTATCATACCCCATTGAATAGTTTTTGGAAAATGCTTTTTAGTGGTATTATTTATATTCTAAACTAGGTGGACCAACAAATAATATTCAATATCTACAGTTTCAATTTGTTCGACCCCACCCATGTACTTTCATATTCCTAGGACAATTCAAGATTTTAGTTTTTCTCATAATATAGTACTCAAAATTATCTCAAAATATAGTACTCAAAATTACCTACTTTGTCGCTCCGCGTCGTTCGCCTAACTGTATTTGCGTGCGAAAAAGTAACACTTTGCGCACTTGTTAGGAAAATAATTATACCTAACTCTTCAAGATAATAAATATGAAGACATGATAATTTTCTATCTTCTATCTCACACCTCTTATAGAACATGATCTGATTGAACAAATCAAGTCCTTGAAAAACAATTCGAAAAGTGGAGAAGATCTGGTCACTTCTGAGATGATTAAACAGAATCATAAATATATTTTAAAACCTCTATTGCATATAATAAACCTTATTTTTTTCTTCTGGAGTCTACCCATCTATACTTAAGAACACAATTATAGTGCTGTTATATAAACAAGGTAACAGTGAACTCACTACAAATTACAGGCCAATAGCCTTGACCAGCACCATTAGCAAAGTAATAAAAAAATGCATTAAATTTAAAATTTTATCATTTATTGAGTCAAATAAGCTTTTTCGTAAAACCAGTTTGCTTTTAGATCTAAGAGCAGTACAGAGCGCGCGTTGTGCAGAGTGACAGAGCTAATCCTGAAAAGTCTAGATGAAGGAAAAAAAGTGTGGCGCACCATTTAATGCTCGAGAGATTTGACGATATGGGTATTAGAGGAATTGCAAACCAATTAATAAAATCTTTTTCCAGTGGAAGAAACAAAAAGTAAAAATTGGAAATTATCTGAGTCAGGCTCTTCCGACGGAGTATGGTGTGCCACAGGGTACAGTACTTGGTCCTTTCTTGTTTAATGGTATTTTATCTATACTGGATTATGAGGATAGTGTCTTCTGTTTTGCAGATGATACTGTGGTTGTTTCTGTTAGTAATTCATGGGGATCAGCTATCAAAAAGGCAGAAATCTCCTTTTCTAAAATAAAAGCTTGGCTAGACTGTAGCCTACCGTCACTAAATGTTAACAAAACAAAGTTTATCACTTTTGCCCTAACCAAGATGGCTTTACCAGAATGCAAATCCATAAAGGTTCATAAATCAGAATGTAGTAATACTGAAGAAACAGGAAACTGTGACTGTTGTGGAATAGAAATGGTACAGAATATAAAGTATTTAGGCATTTATATTGATGAAAAGTTAGATTAGAAAAAAAAAACATATAGAATATACAGGGTGTCCCTAGACCAGTGGGACAGTTAAATATCTTCTGAACCAATAGGAATTTTCAAAATATTATAATTTCACATCATATCGCATTATGAGTGCTAACTTCAGGAATGACTATATTTTATACGAGGGGCGCAAGAAAGGCTCACAAAATCGAACATCAATTTTTTCAAATGGAACACCCTGTATTCTACTGCATTTTCATAGTCTCCTTGAAGAGCTGAGTTCAACGACCTAGCACACTTGGGGTCTAGCGGGAATGATTTCCGAGATATAGGGTGTGGAAAATCGGGATTTTTCATTTTTGGGAATTTTTTGTGTTGAAACTATTCATTATTGGTCAAAACGGCTTACATGTCCATGTCTTAACTTTTGATTTACTATTCACTCGTATTTATTTATTTATTTATTTCAGTTATTGCATTACATTCTCTTCTTCATTGATACATTTCATACAAATAATATATAAAGTATAATTAATTTTCTAGTAGGAATGACATGAATGATCAGACAGTAACTCCAGGTATAAGATCATTCATGAAGTAAATAGTAAATCAAAAGTTGAGATATGGACATGTAAGCCGTTTTGACCAATAATGAATAGTTTCGACACAAAAAATTCCCAAAATTGAAAAAAATCGATTTTCCACACCCTATATCTCGGAAATCATTCCCGCTAGACCCCAAGTGTGCTAGGTCGATGAATTCAGCTCTTCAAGGAGAATATGAAAATGCAATGAAATACAGGGTGTTCCGAGGGGTGTTCCATTTGAAAAAATTGATGTTTGATTTTGTGAGCCTTTCTTGCGCACCTCGTATAAAATATAGTCATTCCTGAAGTAAGCATTCATAATGCGATATGATGTGGAATTATAATATTTTGAAAATTCCTATTGGTTCAGGAGATATTCAACTGTCCCACTGGTCTAGGGACACCCTGTATATACTACAACGAAAATAAGGAAGGTAATTTACAAGTTTTATGAACTAAGGAACATTCTACATTATAACATATGTAAAATGGTTTATTATTCCTTGGTAGAATCAATATTAAATTCTGGCATCATTGTGTGGGGAAGTGCATGCAGAACTACTATGTTGAGTCTTATTGTAGCTCAAAAGTACATTATTAAAGTAATGAGGTTCAAAAATAAAACATACCCTAGCAACCTACTCTTTCACGAAAGCAAACACCTACATTTTCACCAATTATATGTGAAAAATATTATAAGATTCATGTTAACCAATCAAGACTACAAAATTGAAATAGGACATAAATTGTATACTAGAAGTGCGATAAATAATAACTTAGACTTAAGCTCTGTGAGACATGTATCAGCTAAGAGACAAATTAGTTTTATTGGCACTAGAGTATATAATGCACTACCCAACTCACTAAGAAGTCAATCATATAAAAAGGTTGAAAAGCAAATCCATGAATGGATAATTGAGAGCCAATATACCTACCTATTGTAAATTCTATCTAAAATGAGTAGACTATTTATACTTCCACTTACACATTGTTTGCAAGTAATATTGACTATTATCAATAATATTACATTACAGTGTATAACTAAAAATATCTATAAGTATCTATAGTTTCTTCAAATAGGATTGATTAATAATCAGCACACACAGATTTCAAAATCCATTGTGCTGATAATATTCAGTATAGCTAGGTAATAACATAAACTATTATAATGAAATTGAGAAATGTTAACTATGTACCTGAGATACTGAATGAAATGAAATAAATAAATCAATAATATAGGAGCAATCAAGCTATGAATACAGGTGACAGAAACTCAGGGATGATCTAAATTTTTATATGTATATAACTTGTCGTTTGTCAGTCAACCTTCAAGAATTTAAATAATACTAATATGCTCAATATCTGGGATAAAGACATCTGAATTTCTCGAATTTAATTGATGAGAAAGGCATTTCCTGAACTTACCGATAATTGCTTCAATCGTAATGCAACTGGCATCAATTTCTCTAGCGAATTCTCTCACAGCCTGGTTTGGATCTTCATACGTGTGAGGATCGATATAGGTTCTTGAAGAACCACTTATTCCCGTGAATAAAGGTGTCGTCACTGTAAAAACGCGTATGTGTACATTTATAAGCAGGTCAAAATGTATACATATGATGAAGAATAATATTTTCAAAATTGAGATGGAAAAAAGCTGAACTAAACAAAAATAATTACCATTTGTATGGGTGGTAACTATAGGAGGATTATCCAGATTATGATGAACTAAAAACAAAAAATGCACAAATAAGCAAAGCAACAAATAATAAATACCAAATCAACATAAATAGATAAGCAACATAGGTTAAATTATATGAAGAGTGAAATAATTAATACACGTACATAAAAAAAATCATTTTTAATTGATAGTAAAATATTCTGCTATATCTAGACTTACTGTATGTGACTACCAGTCCTTTAGGGATAAGGGTAGGCGTGAAAGTGCATTTTTGGTGTTAATGTTGAATAAGATGGAGCTACTTTAGTGTCGTCTAATGTTTGCTATACATAACTAACAAATTTGCTAGACGCCACCAAGTGCATTTCATGTATATGAAAGATCTGAATGTTAAACTCGCCATGTCCACGCTACCTAATTTTTCAGTAGAGATCGAAAACAGTTAGTCTAACGATAGACGAAAAACAAATAAAAGAACTACAAACTCAAAATTGAATGACAACAAATTTCTAGAGGATGTAATCCAATGTTCTATATAGCATTTCGTCATCTGTTCCACGAACTTGGTGTTCTAGATTTGAACGGTTTCCAAAATACAAATATTTTCTTGAACTACCACAGCTGTAGATAGTTTCCAAAAAATCGATATATCTTGAAAGCTGTTGTAGATGTTGACATAAATTAAGTTGTCTAAACTCGTTATTAAAAGGGCAATCTCACCTTTTGAAAAAAAAATAGGTTTCTAATTAAAATAAGAAAGTTGGTGCCAACTTCAAGCATATCCTGTATAGCTGAAGGACTGAAAATATGTCAGGTAGACTGGGAATGATCAATCATAACAGAATATCAATCTTCAAGCATTTACTCCAACTGCAAGTCGGAAAATTTCTAATGTGTGGTATACGTGAATCAACCTGTATAGATCGCGTTAAAACATGAAGATATACACTGTATACTGTGATACCCGAAAAAACATCGTTTGAAAGCCCAACAGACATAGTACAGCAATTGTTGCATACTAGCCTAGCCAGTACTGACGTCATGAGTTCTATTAGTAGCATTCTTCCTGGTTGCGTACTTACTAATAATACTACAGTTCAGAACCAACCTGCTCTGTACAGTGGTACATTTTACAGCATGTAATACGCTATTTTTCATATTTCTAGACATACTAATAATAGCGCGACTAGGATATGTATGGTAGTACACCTATTTAGTGGACGTGTGAACTTATCTCTTCCCATTCCTAAACATACTCTCGGTTTCACCGGAAATGGCTACGGTTTTGATTTTTTTAATGAAACACCCTGTATTTTATAACATTTTCGAATTTATGAGACAATTCTGGATACGAATATCACATTTTCAGAAGTTTTCACGCCTACTTCATTTTTCCAGTCACTTTTAATATTGCATCTAGGTGGTCATGATAGGACGTAAACTTACCTAAGGACCTCAGGTGATGTCATAAAATTATAACCACAAAATTTGAGTGAAAAAAACACATTTCCGTGTCTAACGTATTATTTTTATTATAGAACAATTTTTGACAAGTACTATCCGAAAAAATGATTTTTTGACGAATCTAACGATACTAATTCATTTGCTATTGGATTCAAAAAAAAGAACATAGAACCCCGCAAATATAGTACGGAAAACGGCCTTCGGCTAATTTTTCTGAAGATTTGATATGTGTCAGATATTTGCGTCCGTATTACACAGTTCAATTTACAGATCCATCCTATGAACAGTTTTCGAAGTCGTGATAAATCTTCAGTAGAAATGAACGCTCCACGTTTAATTTCTACCTCATGAATCCCTCTATTCGAATAGATAATATCACATACAGGGTATTGCATTCCATCATGACAAGGTAATATTCATGGAAATAGACAAATATTGAAAATATCAGATTTTCGATTTTCACTCAATCACTGAAAACTTGAAAACAAACGGCTAGAATCTGCCAATTATTTGACAGTGAGCGTTGCTTGGCTGTGTGCACGTGTATACCAGGTGACACAGGAGACATGTAGCAGCCTGTAGTTTCTTTATTTGAAGAGATAAAATTTGTAAATTCATAGGGGGTATATAATAAATGGTAGCGCACTTTACGAACTTAACGACAATTTTTTTCAACCACCTTTTTGACCGGAAGTGACCCCAATTTTTTTTAAGTCACCCTGTACATTTCTCCAGTCTATCTTTTTCGCCTTGAAATTCTCTATCCAACCATGTATCACAAAGTGGCATTTATTCCTTAATTCGCTGTTGAATTGCTTTTTATTCAAAAAGAATAAGTTGGCTGTGAAATTTAAATATCATTAGTAAACCGATATTATTCTAAATGTTTTGATGTTCTGATCAATGTCTACAGGTTGTCAATAGCTTGTTTGAGTCAAGATGAAAACCTTCGAAAATAACTCATGATATTGAGGAATCTAAGATAGAAACATATTTTTTCGAATTCAGCTAATCGTACAGAAACTATCTGTCTTTTATTTTCGCCATGTACCAATCACATGATCTTCCCATTTGGAATAATAAAACTAAAATTGTTCCTCTCATACGATGATCCACAGGGCTATCAGTCTGTTTTTTCATAGTTATTTCACTTAGTAGGCGGTGTACCTACACAAAATGTTTTGTGTTTGACAGTTAATCGATTGCATCAATAATTGTTCTTCTTCATTTGTGTGTTGATTAAAATTGCATAGTAACAACATATCGAATTTTTCGTTTCTTGAATACGTTTTCCGTGTCTATCGATAATATGCAAATTTAATCAAAACACAAATGAAGAAGAAAAATTATTGATGCAATCGATTAAGTGTCGAACACATAAAACATTTTGTGTAGGTACACCGCTTACTAAGTGAAATAATTATGAAAAAATAGACTGATAGCACTGTGGATCATCGTATAAGAGGAACAATTTTAGTTTTATTATTCCAAATGGGAAGATCATGTGATAGGTACATGGCGAAAATAAAAGACAGATAGTTTCTGTACGAGTAGCTGAATTCGAAAAAATATGTTCCTATGTTAGATTCCTCAATATCATGAGTTATTTGCGAAGGTTTTCATCTTGACTCAAACAAGCTATTGACAACCTGCCGACATTGATCAGAATATCAAAACATTTGGAATAATATCGGTTCACTAATGATATTTAAATTTCAAAGACTACCAAGTGTCGATATATCATCGAATTCATGTGACAGGCAACTACTTCTTTTTGAATAAAAAGCAATTCAACAGCGTATTAAGGAATAAATGCCACTTTGTGATACATGGTTGGATAGAGAATTTCGAGACGAAAAAGATAGACTGAAGAAATGTACAGGGTGACATTGAAAAAAAAAGTTGGGGTCACTTCCGGTCAAACAGGTGGTTGAAAAAAATTGTCGTTAAGTTCGTAAAGTGCGCTACCATTTATTATATACCCCCTATGATTTTCAAAATGTTATCTTTTCAAATCAAAAAAACGTCAGGCTGCTCCTGTGTCACCCGGTATATACCAAAAAAGTCATCATCAGTGCATACCTGTAAGTAAGTAATCTCCTTTTAGCTATTGGAAACAAATTGGAAATTTGAAAAACAATTTGTTTGAAAAAATTGTTCTTTATAATTTTTTTTGGAAAATTTTTAATATTGAAAAAAGGTTGAATTGAATTGGTGACTTGTTGATGTACTCTTGATTATCATGAAATCGAAATTTGGAAATACATAGTTAAATACGAATTTGGAAATTGATAAAAGTGAGGTTACTTACTCGTCAGGTTAACAAGGAAATTTGTCCATGAAAATATCTCTGGTCCAGTTCAAAAGTATCGACATTATGGTAAAATACGGTACACACATATTGAAATCTGTTTCCCAAAAGGGGGTAAAATACAGATTACATTTTGTTAAGCAGCCATTGTCGCTGTGACATGTAATGTTGAAGTGAACTTGATGAGTGACGAACCTTGGTTCAATTGTCATTGAACGTACTGGACTAATGGAGGCTAATTTGAAGTTGACATGCATGACATGGCATCCAAGACATGACATGTGTCAAACGAATAATCAAGGATGTTTATTGTTATGAAACATTAGTGAAGATAAACATTATGAAATCGGGAAGAAATAACAAAGTCCCTAAGTTTTGTTGGTCTAATGAGAACCTAACTAACATATCACTCAATAGTCTAGTTTATCAAAATGCAACAATTCAACAAGTGAATACACCAGGGAAACCCAGTTGAGCTTAATGAGAGCTCACACAAGTTATTCCAGATGTAATCAAAAGTTGAATAAATTCAACTGTCTGACAACCTATTAACACAAAATGGTTTGAGAATCTATTCATCACCTTCAGGATCAGATATAGCTTCCTTGAATGATATCGGATCTTCCAAAATCTGAAGTGTTATTTTCGCCAGCAACACTGTCGTCCATGTCAAGTCTGATATATCTTCTGAATCATTCTCATTATATTCAGTTTTGGAATTCTCTTTCTCTAACTTTTTCTTCATACAATGGATGCATAATTATTGCTCCACATTAGGCGAGAAAGAATAGTATCTTTACCAATGAACCACCTATGAGGACGAATCCAGTGAGGAGAACTCACATGGATTACAAAACGGCCTCAAGGGTGGTTACATATGAGAAAGTAAGATGGGCCATAAAGTCTTTCGCACCATTCAAATCGCCGGGTGTGGATGGTATATTTCCGGCCCTCCTCCAAGAAGGACTGGATGCCATCATACACCTGCTTATGAAGATACTACGATCCTGTCTGGCTCTGGGCTACATACCAGTGGAATGGAGATCGGTCAGGATCGTTTTCATCCCAAAACCAGGGAAAATAGATTATTCCCAGGCCAAAGCGTATCGACCTATCAGTCTGACGTCCTTTCTCATGAAGACGTTGGAAAGGCTGATAGATCGACACATCAGAGAAGAGCCGTTGCAAACGAATCCACTGCACGAGCAGCAATTTGCCTACCAAACTGGAAAGTCCACAGACGCAGCTCTCCATCATCTTATTCGAAGGGTG